AAAGCATATTTTTATATTTTATTAAGTGAAAAACTATTGTTTCTGAATGTAACCTGTTTTATTCGATTTACCTTATAACAAAAACCCTGTAGGTTAAATGGAAAGCGTTAGTTTTTTCTCAAATTATTATTTTTTTTTACCTTAAACCAGCAATTTTCATGTCATGTGACAACATGAGATCCCTCCTCACTCGACAGGTAGCATTTTGCCATCTGCCATTACTTGAATGAAATGTAAAGTTAGTATGTGGCTGAAGTAAATCTCGTTTCAAGAATTCCCACTTAGATATGCGTAGCATTTATAACAGGTTTGGCATGCCGTCCCAGGAGAGAACCCTGAGCTCAGAGATATTTGAGCCCAAGGCTCCTGCCCAGTCAATAAGCATATCAGGAGATCTGAGATCAGGTAGGTCTCGAGAGCTCCCCCTTGTAAAATGGAGGAAAAGGAGGAGATGGGGTGGAAGTTGGGACTCTTCCAAAAGAAGATAAAGCAGTAGGGAGAAAATGAGCCATTTATAGTAAACTAGGATCACTCTGATTGGATTATTACTGATTACAGATGAGCGGCCAGATGTGTTCAATCATATCACATGCTCCTCTCAAAATTAGTTTATGAAACTTCACTTAGATAAGGTGAGCTTTGAAAATCTTTTTCATCCAATGTTATTAGAGTTTTTGTCCTAAGCATTTGATTAAAAAAAAAACATGTTTCTATTTCAGGCACATCGAGGCTAGAACAACAGTACAGTCAGCCTATAAAGTTACTCAGACAAAGATACCCTCAGGTACTGCTTATGGGCCCTTCAGTTTTCATCTGTTTCTAATGTGAGTTTGATCAACATGTTGAGTGACATTTATTGCCATACTAAAGGCATCACAGATAATTTACCTCAGATCTTTAAAATAAAATGACTAGCAATAGCAAAGCCTAAAATTACATGTTTTAATTATAGTTTAGTCCAAATTACAACTTTACTTTGATTTAAAAATAATCAGTTCAGTTCAACCAAAATAATTCAGTTAATTCTATAAAATAATATTTTACCTTTGAATGAAAGTAATTTGTTTTTCCCTGGGCAGAATAAGTATTGATTAATATTAAATTACACATTTAGTTTCAACCTAAGTTATAACTAAAGTATTTGAGCAATATTAATACATTTAGCTGGAACAAATTACAGTACATTTTTAAAGTATCATTTTCACTGTAAGATTTGATCCATGGTTGCTGGTTTAAGTTACTTGCTGGTCATCAACTGGTTTAAGCTGGTTCTCTGCTGCAGTCAGGACCAGCTTAGAATCAGCACGCAAATGCCATTTTTTGAACAGGTATGTTTAGAGTTTGATGAAGAACCAACTGCAATGTAAATAAAAAAATCAATTTAGCCTATTCCATTCTCTGAGTTACATATTTTACAAGTTTATAACATTGATCTGTCTGTTGTCATTCTGAGCTTCATTTCGCAGCCAGAATTCTGGCCCAGAAAGAATGAACGTTGGAGAAGTACAGTAGTTAGTTACCCGGATAATTTTTGGGTATTTCTAGCCATTGTTTTCATGTTGCATTAAAGCTCAACTGAACTGCATATTAATGCTAAGTGTTTAATGATTTCTCTTCTATTCAGATAAGTCAGATAAGCTTTGAGGCCTTTACCAACTTTAGCATATGATCTGCCATACTGTATATTATGTCTCTAGCCTGAGCTGGGCAGGTGTGTGTTTTGCTGTGGTGGTGACACTAAAGTGAAACTACCTGTAGACATTTAACCAAATGTAACGTAAATTTACTGTCTGAATCAGTCATTCTTTTCATAGTGCAGTATGTGCCATCATGACAATGACAAGAGAAATTGTGTCAGCGAGTGACCAGTTTCATCTGCAGCTTAAGCATCTTGTAGGCAGCAAGACACTGCAGATTTTTATCTTTATTTTACATTTATCTTGATTAATAAAAACAGGCAGCTAGTTGGAGAGAAATGTAGCAATACTATTGTTATGAATTCTTATTTGTGCGTAAAGACCATCAACAAAAGCCTGGAGTTTGTTAAATAATACATGTCATTACTATTTCAATTAAATTCATTTTTTTTTTTTTTTTGTTGCATTTAATTTTTGTTTTCTAGAATCAGAGTCTGCTTTCTATAGAGACACCATACTGTCCTAACAACACATCTCACATTATCTGTCTGAAAAACAACGGCTTGACTAAGGATATAACTCTTGTTTTCTGAAGCTGTGAACAGAAACTTTATGTCTTGCGAACACAAGCCTGAACCTCCATCTTAATCTTTCTGGCTCCTAAACACAAACCTGAACCACTGACAGCAGGCAGCTTAATGGTTGTACTGAAAATTGATTGTCTTCTTCATCATAATAGATTTGGCTTTAACAATGAAGCTCAAAATCAGAAATTAGTGGATTATATTTCTAATATAATTACAGAAACTAAAGCACAATTACCAGCAGATTAAGTTCTAGTTGGAGTGGAATATGGTTCCAAATGACAGGAAGGACAGCACCAGAATGAAGCCACAAGAGTACTGAATCAGAGCAACTCAGCCCTGACTTTGTTGATATCTGCTATCTTTCAGTTTAAGTTGACTTCAGAATTTAAAAAGCAACTTAAAGAGGTGTGGATAGCTGTGAGCAGAAGATAGAGGAGTGGGCCTGGTAGAGCAAAGCAGGGGAGAATAAAGGGGAAATGTGCACCTGTCAGTGCTAGCTGCTTGGGCGTAAAGTCTAGATAGGATACATGCACAACAATACAGCAGCTTTTTTTATGACACTGTACAACAATAATTAGTATTTTTACAGTACTGTGATGATTGGGTTTAAGGTTAGGGTGGGGTAGATGCTAAAAAACACAATATTATTGGTTAATTTGATAAATAACATAAATACTCGGAACAACTTCTGTTTCTACGTTACTGTGATGGTTGGGTTTAGGGTTGGGGTGGGGGTAGATGTTAATTAAAATACAATTAATGGGAAATTTAAAAGACAATATAAATAATTCTCGTTAACTTCCGGCCGCAACCATATCTGATCTAGGCATTTCTTTTCTTTTTAGTCCTTTTGTCTCCATTGTATAGTTTAGTCTATTTAGCAATTTCTCCATTGTTTTACATTAGTTAAACGTCAATGCAATCGGCCTTTAATAAGTAGGATGAGTTTTGTTATTTCCAGGTTTGCCTGCTGGCATTATAACCTCATTCTTCCACGAGGCAGGCAGATTTCCTTCATTCATTAATTTATTGAATAGTTTTAGAATAATTACTAAATATCTGTCAAATGTTGTATCATTACATAGCATTCAGTACTGTATATCATCTTTTCCAGGAGATGTTTGTGTGTGTGTGTGTGTGTGTGTGTGTGTGTGTGTGTGTGTGTGTGTGTGTGTGTGTGTGTGTGTGTGTTTAGCTCTCCTAGTGCCCTTCTCTGCTCATATAATGTAAATTCAGCATCTATTACGTCAGCAAAATAAATAATTATATCTGGCTGTTGTTTGGATTTCTGTTGATTTTAATATCATCGGATACATTGTTCTCACTGTGTACTTTAGGAAAGGCTTCAGCTTGAATTTCAGTCTTTTCATGATCTGTTAATTCTAAACTTCCTTCCTCATTTTTAAAACTGGTATTGTTTGTTTATATTCCACAGATTTTACTTAAACTAAGCCTCAAATGAATTTATATCAAGATCTTTTCCTATTGTGCCACACCAATCTCTCCAGTATTTCTTATTGTTCTTACCTCAGCTTGAGCTTTCTTATTTAATAAAATCACCAAGCATGTCTTTTTAAGCATGTCTTTTAAAGGTTTTTAAAGCATTACAAGACTACATTGTTCTGTCCACCAAGAAACTGCCTCCCTTCCTTCCCTTTTTTTCCTATCACTTCCTTCCCTTTTTTCCTTTCCTATTATCCTTGATCAGCCCTTAACTTGTTTCTAACTGGTCAGTTGTGAGATCTGAACAATTATACAGTTAAAACACCAACAATAAATATGCCAAATATTTTTGAATCATGGTTCTTCCAGTTAAACATTCATTCATTCATTCATTTTCTTTTTGTTTTAGTATTTTCATTCATCAGTAGTCGCCACAGCGAAATGAATCGACAATTTTTCCTGCATATATTTTATGCAGCGGATGCCCTTCCAACTACAACCTTTCACTGGGAAACACCCATACACACTCATTTACACACATACACTACAGTCAATTTAGCTTGTTCAATATTTTTATTATTATTAATAATAATATAAGTATTATTATGATGACATAAATAAAACAAATACATTATTATAGTGAATTTTTTAAATATAACATTTTTATTTTGACTTTAAAGCAACACAGCTATAAAGACAGAAACAAAACAAAAGACAGAAAAAAAGATTTTAAAACGCTTGCTATGTTAACAATGCTACACATATTTCTAGGCCAGTGGGCACATGGTGAACTTGAGAAAAATGCCAGTGTCATACCATTAAACTGTTATCCTTGACATCTGACAGACAATTAAAAAGGGTTTCTGGGTGGTTTCAGAGCCACTTTTACTATTATTATTATTCAAGGATATTATTACTGTATACAAGGATCACAGTGGAGCTTCAAAGTTGTCAGTTTTTAATCATTATCATTCATTCATTTTCTTTTCGGCTTAGTACCTTTATTAATCCGGGGTCGCCACAGCAGAATGAACCGCCAACTTATCCAACATGTTTTTTTACGCATCGGATGCCCTTCCAGTCGCAACCCATCTCTGGGAAACATACACACACACACTCATTCACATTCATACACTACGGACAATTTGGCCTACCCAATTCACTTGTACCGCATGTCTTTGGACTTGTGGGGGAAACCTGAGCACCCGGAGGAAACCCATGCGAAGGCAGGGAGAACATGCAAACTCCACACAGAAACGCCAACTGAGCCAGCTGAGGCTCGAACTAGCGACCTTCTTGCTGTGAGGCGACAACACTACCTACTGCACCACTGCATTGCCCAGTTTAAAATCCTAAAAAAAGTATAATAAATTTTATACAGCCTTATTTTAAAAGAGCAGGTCAAAATAACCACTATTATTAATACAAATATCTATTTGTTATGCTGAATGACAATAGAACATAATTTCACTCCTTCCCCTTGTCTTTGGCTCACATATTTACTGTACATGAAAAATGTGCCTTTACTGAATGCCCCAATTTACAAACCGGTTAAGAAGTTTCCAAAATGTTCTGATAATTACTACAAAAAATAAGTGATATGATGTATTTAGTTATTCAGCTTCATTAAAAGTTTGATGATATAAATAATTAATTTAAATAAATCTATTAACACCTGATAGCTGAGATTAAGCTGTGATGGTAATTGTATAAAATCTCTGTATCATCTATTCTGTTAGATCACACAGTTTCACTTTTGCATTTGAACCTATCCAAAACCCAGGATGTAGAGGTTGAGTGAATGTGGTCTGGACTCTGCGGATGAGGCTTATTTTGTCAGAGACGCCGTAGAAGGACAGAGTTCCTGCACTGTGATCCACATACACTCCTATTCTACTGCTGGACAACACAGGGAGAACAGTACATTTACTATTGTGATAATAACTGCATGTGGAGGAAGAGCAGAACAACATCCATGAATGATCATTATATCCAAACAGACATAATTTGGATCCCTTCCTCCTGATGCTCTTATATGTCACTGCTATAAACACCTCTCCACTCCACTCAATCTCCCAGTAGGAGCGTCCACACAAACTCTCTCTACACAACACCTGACTGTAATAATCAAATCTGTCAGGATGATCAGGATACTGCTGGACTGTGTTTGTGTCAGTAACCAGTGTGTTCCTCTCAGACAGAAGAAGGGTTTTATAAACTGTGTTTGGATCCAGAGAGAGCAGACGGGAATCTGATGAAGAGAAAATACACAAGACTTTAATGACAATAGTTTGAGTGAGAATCTGATCATTTCCCAATAATGGAACTAATAGCTGAAACACCATGATCATATGGGCAAATATTTCGGTTAATCAATCAATCAAATTAAATTAAGTTTGAATAAAGTTTTATTTTTTCATTAATTCGTTATTTTGCAAGATTCTAGTATTAAGATTAAAGTGCAATTAGGCAAATCGTGTGTGTGTGTGTGTGTGTGTGTGTGTGTGTGTGTGTGTGTGTGTGTGTGTGTGTGTGTGAGAGAGAGAGAGAGACTTACATTGTAGAAAGTCCTGTCTGGTTTCAGGGTCTTTGTTCAATATTTCAGTGCACTTTACTAAAGAAATAAATGTATAATCAGAATAATTTCAGTGTACAACAGAATAAAATAAATACAGCTTTTTTTATATAGTTGATCACAAGTAAACCTGATTGCTATAATATCTGTTATTTGCCTCTGTCTGAGATCTTTTCAGTCTCTTGTCTGCAGAAATCCTCCAGTTTGTCCTTCAGTTCAGAAACAGATTTTCCCACATGATCAAGAGAGAGGAGAGAGCTGATAGTGATGCTGGAAACATCTGCAGTTCCAGGAGAGACAGAGAAAGACAGGAAACTCTACAGGAGGAAAATACACAACAAATACACAGAAGAGTTTAGCAGAGATTAAACAGATGAAGCTCCACAAATGAAGAAGCAGGAGAGACTTTCTGCTTTCACAAATATATGAGTACTTGACTTTAATTGTACTTTGTGTTTTTCTATTTTTTGGGGAATATCCTGACAGGTCTTTGGTCAGTTCAGAATTGCCTACTAGCTGACTGAATTTGTATGATTCTCAAGTACTCAGTGGGGTTATTGTTCAGAATTGTACACAGACGTCAACAATTTTCTGTTAAGTCTATATATGTTTAAATCAGCTTTAAAACACCTATATGTACAGCATTGAGTGTTGTTGACCTGAGATCGTGAGCAGAGCGGCCTACAATCACTTTGTGAGAATTAAAGCTGCTCTGCTGATGAAACTGCAAACTATCTTTCGTAATCTTTCTTTGATTGAATCTTTGACTCCAGCTCTTTTTAGTCTGACACACTGTTCATTTTTTGTGGTAAATCTGTCCCCAATAACTTACATTATGCAGAGAAGTGGAGTAACTCTTTAAAACTTTTTTTGTGTTGATCTTAGGTTTTATTTTATTTGTTATCTTAGGATAAAATCATTATATGTTTTTTATTTAACTTTGTAAAGATGATTTATTTGAAAAAAGTATATACTTTCTTATTTTTAGCTTTGCTGTGGTACTCAAATGAGGAAAGAGATCATGTCTTTATAGATGTAAATGATGTGTTACCTGCAGGAACTGTATGTGATCTTGAGTTTGTAAAAACTGCTCCAGCTCAGTGTTTCTCCTCTTCAGATCATCAATCTCCTTCTCCAGTGTCTTCATGAGATCCTCAGCTCGACTCACTGCAGTCTTTTCCTGATCTCTGATCAGCTGTGTGATCTCAGAGCAGCGTCTCTCAATGGAGTGGATGAGTTGAGTAAAGATGCTCTCAGTGTCCTCCACTGCTGCCTGTGCAGAGCGCTGTTAAACACATCACAGTCAGCTCTTACTGCTGCTCACACACTCAACATGAGTCTCAAACTCTTCCTCTGTCTGTCAGCTGATGTTCTTCATCTCAAACTCACCTTATGAGAGTCCACAGCCTGTCTCAGATCCTGAAGCTTCTTCTCTCGCTCCTGGATTCTGTCTTGATATTGTCTTTGTGTCTCTTTCAGAATATTCTGTTGATAAATGTACAACCTGAATGTTTCTACATTCACTGAGGCTAAATAACACATCTACAATTTGAGAAGATTGGTGAAACTCCTGCTTACAGCTTTAATCTGGTATTTAATCTGTGTAAACTCATACCTGTTTCTCTGTCCTCTCAGCTGCAGCCGTCACAGTCTCATGGTTTTTGTGTTCATCCATCGTACACAGATAACACACACACTGCTGGTCAGTCCTACAGTAGATTTTCAGCGGTTCTTCATGTTTTGTGCAGATCATTTCTTGTAGTCGTCCAGTGGCGTCAGTCAGTTTGTGTTTCTTGCTTCTGAATAATGTCTGATGTTGCTGCAGGTGATGTTGACAGTAAGAGTTCAGACACACTAGACAGGACTTGACAGCTTTAAGTTTTCTTCCAGTACAGACGTCACACTCCACATCTCCAGATCCAGCATAACAGTCTGCAGTTTGGAGTCTTGTTGTCTTCAGTTTCTCCAGCATTTCAGCGAGCATCACATTCTTACCTAAAGCAGGTCTTGGAGTGAAGGTCCGTCTGCACTGAGGACAGCTGTAAACTCTCTTCTGATCCTCCAGATTCCAGCAGTCTGTAATGCAGCTCATACAGAAACTGTGTCCACAGGAAATGGTGACTGGATCCTTCAGTAGATCCAGACAAATTGGACAGATGAACTCCTGATCTAGATTTGCTTCTGCCATTATACCACAAGATCTCAGAGGTCTGTCCAAATCTCAGCCGCACTTCAGTTTCAGTCTTCCAGAAAGAGAAAGAGCTTCCTGGTTCTGTACTTTTGAGTTGTGCAAAACAAGCAAGTCTGGTTTATGGTTGGGACTTTGTCCTTTATTATGTTAAAGATCATAAAATAAAAATTCTGAAAATGATTACAAAGATATTGCTGCAAGTTATATGTCAGATTTATACAGAGTTTAACAACAACAAAAACAAAAACAAATAAAACCTACGAGGAAAGCACAAGGGGCACGGCAGAGCAGAGGCTGTCAAATAGTAACGTTATCCAGCACACTGGTTCTTCCTGATCTAGGCCTGAAGAGTTTAAGATAGGTAGCAGGGTCATCATCTTCTCTGTACCACCACGGCTGTCTTTCCCTTAGGTGTTCTCTCCCGCCATTATTGAAGATGACATGGCACACTTGCCTTTTCTTCTCTCTGTTTGGCAGGTGCACTTTACATGTAATGGGTCCCATCATTGTGAGGATGGTGTAGGACCTCTGACCCCCTGCATACAGCTTGTTAAATACAACGACAGTAGTGTTGAGAATACCGGTCATACTATAGCTGAAAATCTTTCAGGGCAATCTTCATGTTCTTGTGGGCCTGTTTTCTGTACAACTTCAGGTGGCCTGTCATTTTTAGCGCATACTGATGCAATCTGCATTTCTGTGTGGAGTTTGCATGTTCTCCCCGTGTTGGTGTGCGTTTCCTTAGGGCGCTCCAGTTTTTCTCACCGTTCATATACATATAGTATAGGTGAATTGGATTAACTAAATAGGGTGAGTGTGTGAATTAGTGTGTATGGGTGTTTCCCAGTACCTGGTTACGGCTGGAAGGGCATATGCTGCATATAACAAGCTGGTTCATTCGCTGTGGCGACCCCTGATATGAATGAACAGAATGAATGAACATAAGGTTTTACCAGAAATGGACAGAATACATCTTTCTGGAGTGATTAGGGTGATATTTGGCTGAAAATACATTGTCATGGAAAATGTAAAAATAGAGACTTTTTTCCCCTCTTAGAGGTGAATAATTTGGGAAGTTTTAAAATATTGGATGTTTATTCAGTACAGTTTTGTTCATTTTAATGTATAAAAATGTTCCACATATAAATGTAAGGTGCCAATGTAAATCCTTAAGATACTGTTTAAGTAAAAAAAGTGAACCTTTTTGTAAGAGTACCATCCCCGTGACAGCTTTTGTACCTTTATTTCTTTACAAGAACCAACCCAAACTATTAAAGGGTCTTTTAAAAAATCCTTTCCCATATAAGTCAACATACATTAATGATTTCATAACTTTGATTATAATTGCATATATATAATTACAAATACATTGTAACTGAATTGTAGTATAAAAATAATTTTTTTTCTGTGATTTGACAATATTAATATTTACATTTGAATTATTTTACTTGCATAAAGGGCACCTATTAAGTAAAAATCACTTTTATAAGGGGTTTAAACAGTTGTGTGGCATCAGTGTGTGAATATAACCAGCCTCTAATAGTCCAAATTAATTAATTTTATTTTTTATAATCACACTTGATAAAGACAGTCTGCAGAAACACTTTGATTGACATTCTTCCTTTGTACGTGTCATCCGGAAAGCCCCGCCCATTGGGGATGATCAAACTGAGAAATAGGTATTTGTAGCCCCGCCTTCTATTGAAAAGAAAGCTAGGAGCACAAGCTCATTTAAATTTAAAGCGACAGTCACCATAACAGCACAATTTGCATTAAAGCCTACAATGGGCAGTTTTAAAGAGATATAAAACATTTTTTGTAGCGTATTTGAGCTGAAATTTCACATACACACTCTAGGGACATCAGAGACTCATTTTACCTTTTGTAAAAAGAGGCATAATAGTTCCCTTTTAAGTCGTCATTGCATGAAGGAATTCTGTTCCCATGCTCAGGTCTCCAGTTCTTTGTATAAAGAAAAGTATTGAATAAACAAACCACTGTTTTTCACCGAAAAAGCAACCTTGATTTTAATAGTAATACATTTATTTTGGTACAATATAAATATATTACACCTCATTTACATCTCTCTTTAATATTATCCAGTCATGGTCAGATTGAGAAAATTGCATCTAAAATCGGATGTTTGATTAATTGACAGTAAGCCATTTTGAAACAGTTTTTTTAACTACTGTAGTTGTGCATAAAGGACTTAGTTCTTTTAGCTCTGAAACTGAGATATTTAATACCAGTCACTAAGCCAAATCACAAAATCTATTTTATCTCATTAAACACTTACCGGCCACTATATTAGGTACACCTTACTAGTACCTGGTTGGACCCCTTTTTGCCTTCAGAACTGCCATCATCCTTTGTGGCATAGATCCAACAAGGTACTGGAAATAATCCTCAGAGATTTTGGTCCATATTGGAGAGGGGTTTGGATGCAGACCTGGTGCAGTGCAATCTGAGCTGCATCCGATGCTTTTTAATGAGCTCACCTAACCCCACCCATAACCCTACCCCTCACAGTGACGTCACTCACTTCATTTGAGTGCATTATGTTTGACTGCATGGCTGCACATCCCTGATGCCAATCTCCCGTTCCACCACATTCCAAAGGTGCTCTTTTGGATTGAGATCTGGTGACTGTGGAGGTCATTTGAGTACAGTGAACTCATTGTCATATCCAAGAAACCACACTGAAAAAAATGATTCAAAGATGATTCCTTGGATTTACTCAATTTTTTTATGTTAAGAGGTTGTAAACATTTTTTTTGGGCTGAATTTAAACAAACAAATTAAGTTGAACATTACTAAACTTAATTTGGTTGTTTAAATTCAACACAAACAAATTGTTTGCAACAGTTCTGCATGCAACAGTTTTTTCAGTGCAGTAGTTTCTGAAATACTCAGACCAGCCCTTCTGGCACCAATAACCATGCCACGTTCAAAGCCACTTAAATCCCCTTTCTTCCCCATTCTGATGCTCGGTTTGAACTGCAGCAGATCGTCTTGATCATGTCTACATGCCTAAATGCATTGAGTTGCTGCCATGTGATTGGCTTATTAGAAATTTGCGTTAACAAGCAGTTGGATAGACGTACCTAATAAAGTGGCCGGAAATTGTATAACATCCCTTAATATGATTAGTTGCATGAGTATTTACATGTACATGTTTTTGGTGGTGTAATGCAGACATTTTAAACAACATAATTAAAGCGGTGTGTTCTAATGTCACTCCAAAACAATGGTCCATTCCATAACCCTCAGGTTCATGGTTGAGTGCGCTTTTTCTGCATGGCATTCATGAGTTCTGACATGAAGTCGCCACCTGAGGGCGCTGTTAGTTGAGGAGTAGTCCTCTTAGGTGGAGGTGGAGCCACTTTTCTGACACTGCCGGCTGGATTGTTGGCGGCTGGTGCTGGAGCTGGTGGTGGAGGCGGGGGTGGAGGTGGCGGAGGTGCTCCGCCTGCAGATGTAAAAGCAGGAGGAGGTGGTGGAAGGGAGGCGACGGGGTCTGGAGGTGGTGGTGGGAGTGATTCTCCACCATGAGACCCAAAACTAGGTGGTGGAGGAGGCAGAAAGTCAGGGGGCAGATCGGCAATTTCTGGAGGAGGTGGTGGAGGAGGAAGATCATCCATTGGTGGAGGGAAGGAGGATTGTGGGAATTTAGGTGGAGGAGGAAACTTGTTGACTTTGGTTGAGCTGACTGGAACAGGAGGCGCTGGTGGTGCTGGTGGTGCGGGCGGAGGAGGAGGAAACATGGGGTCGGGTGGTGGAGGAGGCAGGAAATCCATTGAAGGTGGAGGTGGTGGTAATGATGACTGGTTGGATGGAACCTTTAAAAACAAACCCAAAAGTATCATTCAGGTGCATTCATAAGAAGTTAAAACAGCTCTCAAACTATATTATGATAAATAAATAAGTGTGCTTAATAGGTATAGTTCACCCCAAAATGAAAATACTCTGATTATGTACTCACTTGTTCCAAACTTGGCTGAGTTTCTTTTTTTAAAAGTTAAAATTCTGAAGAATGCTGAAAACAAGTAGCCATTGGCATTCTTCTGTGAATGTCAGTGGCTACCATTTTTCTAAATATCTTCTTTTGTGTTCAACAGAAAATAAGGTATTAAAACAAGTGAAGGGCGGATAAATGTTCATTTTGCACTCAAAAAAGATGTTTTGCAGATTGTTTAAACTACTTGTTTAAGATGAGCTTTAAACAACACAATTCTGGATTTTTTTGGAGGGGGAAACCTAATTTTTTTATGCTCACTCCACTTCAATTTATGTTAACTTAATCGATTTATGTTGGGACAACATGAATAAATTGTGTGGAACTCTTTACTGTTTGCTGTTGTACACTGTTTATCTCTTTTACTGTTTACAGTTACTAATATATGTATACTTGTGCACATTAAATTTAGTAAAAATTCTAGAGAATAAATTACCAATATTACTTGGTTCTTTAAAGACCAGGAATATTATTCCCCACCCATCCGCCACATTTACTAATAAACCATTTTAGTTTTTAGTATCTAAATATATATATAACCAATATCCTCCTGAGACCCAGCCCATTGACTTGTGTCCTCTATAGAGGACATTGCGTTTTCATGAATTTTCTTTGAATTTTTTGAACTACTCTGTCAAGTCCTGTTGTTCTGTTCAGTGGCCATTCTGGGTTTTCTAGTGATATGTCATTTGATTGGCTGGCATGCTAGGAACCACTTCTTACACTGCATCCAAAATGGTCGACATACAAACAAGCACATTTTATGGGAAGGAGAGAGGCATGTCAAATTTAACTATTTAAATGTTTTTTTTTTACTTTTATTATTACATGTATATTTGTTTATTAAAGTGTCAGGAACAATACATTTAGCTTTCAAAGCTGTTAACTTGTTTGTTTCAAAATATCATCCTTTTTTAAATGTCAACTATAGTGGACACCAGGTCCATAATGTAATGATTGAGTGCATGTTGTAGGAGGCAGAACTGAAGCAGAGAGGATTCTTTATAAGATAGCTAAGAGAGACTTTGATTTAGAGTCTGACAATCAGAGAATTAGAGACAATTAGAGAATGACAATCAGTTTTAAATTACTTTTATGTTCAATTTGTTTTGGATTAACATCACTACAGTGGACATGCTGTAAAATACAAAAAATAAAAACAAGAATCTAAAAACTCTAAATTGTAATTTTTTTTTTAACCCAAAGGATGTAGAAAATCACAGAAAAAAAAATTCTTTGGGTCTCAGGAGGATATATCAAGGGCAAAAAAAAAAAAATATTGAATAATGTCTGTTTTCTAATTATCTTTTTGTAAAAAGTGTAGATGGTCTCAAAAGACTCAAGTTAAGTCGAAATATATTTTCCTACATCTCAATAAGTGCAATTCCACCTTTATTCCACAAGGTTGCAGTGTCTAATTTACAAAAATTTCATGGTTTTTCACTTGTAATCATAAATACCACTCCCTGTGATTATTACAAGCTCAAATATCTCGATTGCATGTGTCTTGCGATCTGTCAGGGACCAAAACATTGATTGTAAAAGATATTGGAAATGATTATTTTCAGAATGATATTTATCTCGAATGATATGAGTAAAAGAGGGTGATGGTAAAACCATCTGCTCAGACTGAACTCCTCCATGTTACAAAAGGGACAGAAGCATACTTTGTTTCATTATTTTGTAATTATTAATATACACTCTCAGAAATAAAGCTACAAGAGCTGCCATCGGGGCATTACCTTTTCAAAAGGGACACATCTGTACTGAGTCCAAATTGGTACATCAAGGGTATATATTTGTACCTAACAATTTCCAAAGGTAAGCATTTGTACTTTTTAGCTACTAATATGTACACTTGAGGTATTAATATAGACCATTTAGGTATCTCAGTGATGGGTTGCAGCTGGAAGGGCATCCACTGCGTAAAACATATGGTGGATAAGTTGGCGGTTCATTTTGCTGTGGCGACCCCTGATTAATAAGGGGACTAAGCCGAAAAGAAAATGAATGAAAAAATATTACATTAATGAGATGTACCTTGTTTTCCACTGGAGGCTGAGGAGCATGTCCGTTTGCAGCTTTGGCTGTAAGATAAACACACACTTTTATAAAATGTCCTAAAAGGGTAATATAACAAGATCCATACATATTCATGATCAACTGAGCTGCTTTATTTGTACCTTTAGGTGTAGGGGAGGGTGTTGATGCAGTGGAGGAGGCCTGGATAGTGCGGTTAGCCCAGGATGCAGAGCCTGATGCTTTCCTCACAGCAGCCTTGTAGTTGTCATATAACTGCTTTCCATACTGTTAAACAAACCATGATTAAATAAGACTAATAAGAAGAAAAGCAAATCCTTTAAAGCTGTGTTTCCCAACCCTGAGGCACACTAACAGTACCCATTTTAGATGTCTCCTTATCTGACCCATTAACTTCAGGTTTTGGAGTCTCTTCAGATGTTCTGATGAGTTGATTCAGATGTGTTTGATTAGGGAGATGGGGAAAAAGTATACTGTTGGTGTGCCTTCAGGAACAGGGCTCGGAAACACTGCTTTAAAGGATAGTTCACACAAAAAATACATTTTACTCATAATTTGTTTACTCTTCCTCAAGTCATTCCAAATCTTGAGTTTATTATGTTGAACACAAAGATATTTTGAAGAAAATTGCGAACCTTTGACATCTATAGCGGAAAAATACACACAATGGAAGTCAACGGTTACCAGTTTTTAGCTTTCTTCAAAATATCTTCTTTTTTGTTTAACAAGATAGAAAGTCAAACCCACATGGAAAGAACCTATATAAACATATATGTTTTAATATAGGTTTTTAAAATTTGTGACATTTAAAAAAATTGGCCGTTTTCCTATATTAAATGTACATATAAGGACATGTGTGCCTATGCACATGTATACATGTACACATTTACTGTATGTACACATATATATGCATATATATACTTACATATTAGTTCAATTATTCAAATCTATAGCTGCTAGACAACATAAATAAAATACATGTAATTATTTGAATTTACTTGAGAACAATCAAATAGTACAAGAACAAAAACAAGGCAAATAATAAAAAAAAAAAACAGAGAAAAACATAGCTTCCATCTCCTATCACACTTATATGCCATAGTTAAATTCTATATTGTGCCAATTACATGTGATACCAATTTTAAGTGTTCACATGTACATTCGTTTTTTGCATTTTTTCCCCCCTCATATAGGTTCTTTCCATGTGGGAACTGGTTCTGACCAATGAAAGCTCAGTAAATGATGACTGAATATTTAGTTTTAGGTGAACTGTCCCTTTAAATTGACAGACCTCAGCACCAACACAACACATTTGTTTATTCTAAAGCGCAGATCTGCCATTTTTGCGTAGTTTTGCTCTACATTTATCATATTTTCTTTATAAATGTTTACACTAATTTAATTGTTTTTTTTATTAAACAATTTCTTAATTATTATTATTAATTTGCTAATTTTTTTCCATCTGTATGCAGTTATTCTCTGAGGTTATGTACTTATGTGTTATGTACTTCATTTCGTATTTATGTATTTATATATTTACTTGTTTTGTTAATTGCGTTAATGAACGAGGGGTTAGGGGATGGGTTTAACAATGGACAACATACCTCCCTATGTATATAATTTTCCTAACTAAATTGGCCTTGGTGTATGATTGTGAATGAGTGTGTATGGATGTTTTCCAGTACTGGGTTGCAGCTGGAAGGGTATCTGCTGTGTAAAACATATGCTGGATAAGTTGGGGGTTCATTCCACTGTGGCGACCCCAGGTTAATAAAAGGACTAAGCCGAAGGAAAATGAATGAATGAATGAATACAAGAGACCAATAAAAATATAATAAGAAAGTAAAAGGATTTCACAAAAAAGTGAGGTGTTTTGGTAGGTTTCTGCTCACCTTGGCAACACGTATCCCGGTAACCCACAGATTCATGGACCATTCGTCATCACAGCACATAAACTTGATGTACTGTGATTCTTTTTGAATCTGAGGATGCTGTAAACAGATCAGAGTAACCAAATCAACATAATGCAAACCTGCGTTCATTCTTGTGATTTCATTGAATAAACAGTAGATGGCAGTCTAAATTCACATTTTTCATAGCCAACAAGCTTTAAATACCCACTTTTGGATTATTTCTAAAGGGGTTTAAATTAACACTGTGCTTCTGTTTAGCTATTGCCTAAAATGCATTAGGTATGTGTGTCCTTTTTTACTGAAGCATAGTCTTGAGTTGATGAGGTTTATTCTTGGATCTGCTTTTTTTGTTCTTCACCATGTGTTTTGCATTTAATTTTCCAATTACTTGGCAAACAAAGCCCATCCTAACCTAAACATAGCCTGAAACAACCTTGGAAAGTATTACAAATGAGTTTGATGACTTGTCATGCTTTTTTAGCAACACATCAGCATTTCAGTGAACCCGATTTTGCTGTAATCACTGAAGATCTTTTGCCGTTTATGGGTTGATGTTGGTAAAACAGCCTTTTACTCAAGAATGAAATTATCAGTACTTTGTCCAACAAGAGTTTTAAGCTAGTGGTATTCTTATTTATTTATTTACATATGTATTACAGTAACCAAATACATAGAGAGCTATGGAAAATTAAGAAGTGCAGACAGAAGAATTAAAATAGAGGTATTTTAATTGTGTGTTAAGAAATAATTATAGGCAGCCTCCAAAGAATCAATGATCTGTATACCATATATATGAGTAGTGGTATATAAGAAGAAACGTATGAAAGAGAGCTGAGCAGATTTATGGTGTGTAAATGTCAGATAAATGACCTGTTGACCTGAAGAGCCCTTATTATTATATCTAAGCTCAGGTTACTTCCCAAAAAACAGGCTTGCCATTTTCACAACAATAGTAATTAAATAGGAATTTCACTGGATGTAGTTTTGAACTAATGGAGCATTTTGAAGGGGTGCAGTAGGGTCATCTTCAAGCCTCTGACCCGGTCACACGATTGCACACTTCTACTTGCTAACTCGAGAGGAAATGGATGCTTTTAGAGGCATGTGATTTACAGCTTGTGGAGCTCTACGCTTCATGTGTTTTGTGTCTGCTTTCAAGTCCATGACCACTACTGATAAAACAGCATTTTGTTTTTGAAAAAACAGGGATTCATTTTAGGTCCCAAACGTTATCTTTGAGAACAGAGAGATGTTTTTTGAGTTTGATTTCAAAATGGATGTCAAAACTGAGAGAGTTTCTGTGGCTATGAAAACCTCTCCACATACGCTTCAACTCAGCATATTTTGAGGAAAAATCTGCACTGTAAAAAATTATTGGTTCCACTCAATTCCTTCATGTTGTCCCAAAACACATTGATTAATTTAAATATTTTAACAAATTTAAGTGGATTGAACAAAACAATTAAGTTGCCCCCCACCCAAAACATAAAAACTTAAGGAATTGGGTTAGTACCACAGACAAACAAATCTGTACCTTGAGCATGAAGCAGTGGTCTGTTGGTGCTTTGTATTTGATTCTATATTCTTTGCAGTAGTAGACGTTCACATTGTCAAACTGCACCAAGCACACCAGATCCCTTGAAGCCTAAATGGAGAGACAGAAATCTGTTAAACCACTTACATTGACTTTCTTCAATTTTTTTAACCAAAGTATATCATTATGTAGGTGCTTTAAGGTTTTGAAGTGATACTATCATGATATTTTGAGGTATTTTTCAAGTATACTTGAATTCAATGTCAATAAAACATCTTCAATTTCTCATAAATGTACAGTGCAGCATCAGCTCTTGATACCAATGGGGTATATGCAGAGCTAGTGTTGTTCCCATACTTATAAACTTCCGGCGACCTGTTATTGTGGGTTTTTTTCCAGTTTATACAGTTCCTTTTACAGCATCGATGTTGTAATGCCATTATAATACAATCAGTTAAATAGACTTTGGCATTCATTTAGTTGCTCAAGCTTAAAACGAGACAGAAAGCTGTTTACTCGCACGCGCCCGTCAGAATCTGCAGGCTAGCGCAGAAGCTCCATTGAATATACTGGGGTAAAATAAATGCTCATATTTTAAAGACATGGCGGGGGGAAATGTAATTCAATGCAGTGCTTCTTGTACAATCAGAGACCCACTTTATATAGGATATCACTCAACCAGTGGAGATCGCTGATTTTTTAAGAAAACAGACCTTAAACGCGCCAATTTTGCATTGGCATTCAGTTCACCGAAAGCGCTTAACCCAGGTTACTGGAAAATTGAAAGTCCTATTAGCATGCTTCGGCATAGACCCTATTGTAATGATGGTGTTAGTTTTACCATATTAGTTTGTCTGACAATGATATGTGATGTTTCTCACGGGTGAGATTTTATTTAGGCACAATCCACATGGGAACTTCTTATTTTTTTTTGCTTTTTGCGAATTTGAGAAGTTTCTAGATGGGCACAGGTAAACTGGTTAAAATGGTGTAATATGCCACAGCAAAATGTGGCACTCTAAACAAACAGACGGAGCTGCAGGATCGAGCCTGGGTTGGACACAGCTTTGTAGTTCGCCATTGTTGTTGTTAAAAGTTGTTATGTGCTGAGTTCTTCCTCCTTGTTTTTGTCTGTGATGTCATTGTTAACAAAAAAGTGGAGTTTTTCCAATCCACGCATGCATGTTTTCACTTTGTAACTGGTATTTATAAATTACATTTCAGGGCACTGACAATGCCCATTATTAAACGTGTGCAGGTTGACCCAAATCCATTGCTGTAGATCAGTGCCTTAGGTCAGTCCCACATAGCAAATGTTTTCTGGCCCAGCTTCGGGCCACACAATAACTTTTCCCTCTGCTTAAGTACCACAAAGAATGACGGTCCTGAAGTTGCCCATAACTAGATTAAAGACGAGGGCCATAACCAGCCTGAATCTCAGCCAATTTATCACCCTTAACTGGCCCTGAACTGGGCCAAAACAGTTTTAGTATTGGTACCGATTCTCAGCTATAAGTTTATACTTTAACCAGAAACCCCAAAAACTGAGCCATAACCTAAACCTAAACAATATGAACAATCGCTACACTGATCTAATCCACATACCTCCCATTCACTACTGGCCCAAATGTAGTTCGCCATCATGCATGCATTGCCATCATTGCCATGCATGGCGCACATTCGGCTGACATTATGCATGCCAGTGCCGGCAACATGCCAGCAGAGCCATAATGAGGCCACATTTTGGCCAAGTCTGTTTGCTATGTGGGGTGATAGTGATGTAGTTTGTCACACACCATAAATGAGGCAAGTATGAAATTACTCTACATAAGCCACAGGTGTCAAACTCAGTTCCAAAAGGGCCGCAGCTCTGCACAGTTTAGTTCCAACCCTAATTAAACACACCTGATAAAACTAATTGAGTCCTTCAGGCTTGTTTGAAACCTACAGGTAAGTGTGTTGGAGCAGGGTTGAAACTAAACTGTGCAGGGCTTCGGCCCTCCAGGAATTGAGTTTGACACCCCTGACATAAGCCTTTACATCCTTACCATTTGAAACTGAGATTGCTTTCACAGTGCAGAAAACAGGGTCTCTCTTGACATTGTTTGTGGGGGGGGGGGGGGGGTCCATGAAGACCATAGACTGGCATGAGGTGTTTGATTCAAACTTTAGCAGGTTTGCGTGGGAAGTAAGACTTTAATTACTTAAGCTATGACTCATTCCAGGCAGTCCAGATTCGGTTCTTTCTCTTGGTACTTCAGGAATGATAGAGTCTCTTCCTATTGCCCCTTTTGAACTGCATTTCAGTCATGCCAACTCTTGTAGAGGTTATAGTGTAATGAATATGTTAGTGGTCTTGGCAGAATACATCTGCTACGCTGCTGCTGCTTTGATTATTGGTTCAGATCAAGTACAGGAATTTGCTACTGATGTGGTCTAAGAAGTTAACACACTGCTGATTGAGAAACTGAAAATCAGGCTTCATGCTTATTTTAATTGCAGTTACTACATAAATGAAGCCACGGGCTAGTATGACATCATCTCTCTTCATTTTTACCTAAATTATATTTACATGGACATATTATCGACAATTAAGATTTTTGTTTTCATGCAGTTCTTTGCACAACACCAATTAAATACCACAAAACAACTTAACAGTGCTTTTTAATTAAATACTTTCGTCTCACCTACAGGATCTATCAACATATTTTCTGGCATGGTCAGTTTGTTGGGCAGCTCACTAAAAAAAGCATTGTAAAATCAAGGTAAATCTATGTGTTCACAGTTTTTCCTTCGGAAAACACTATTGGTTGAATTTAGAGAAGGGTCAAGATTAGTGGGTCGCTATGTGATCAACAACAAGCGAAAATTAGTTCTGGTACAATTGACAATTATAACATTAAAACAACATTCAAAACATTATGAATGTGTGTACTCTTTTGGATTCTCGTAAGATATTTAAAAATGTAAAAAAGGCAATAAGTTTGGACCATTGCATAGTGGCACTTTAATTTTCAGTAAATCAATTAACCATTTGGATTTGTTTAAACTCAATACTGTCTGGGTTGCCTGAGCTCACCTTTGTCTTGCCTTTAGGTGAATAATACAACCCCGAGGCCCGGAGCAGAAAGTAGCGCTGTTTCCAGGATTTTTTTCCATCCTCCTTCAGATACAGAACGCCCTCCAGGTCAGGCACAATAACTGAGGCTCCACAGAAGTTCTCCTACACTCAGAAATACAATACAAGACATCATACACTTGCACAACAAAGTTCTGTGTTGACTTTCTGGTTTCTGTGGAACATGAGGGCGAGTAAATGATTATAATATAAAGTGTTTAGATGCAACCTGCCATCTGAAATGTTCATTTTTTTATCAGCCTATTATGTTTATGTTCAGTTTTTCACATTGAAGGTAATAAAAATAACTTTAAAAAATAAAAGCTGAAAAAAAATGAAAAGGATTTTAGAAGAAATCTTCTTATGTTCATTTTTAAATTCGTACAAACTTGGATTACTTGATTAAAGGGACTAACTTACTGGATTTTTACTCACCCTCAGGTGGTTCCACATGTTAAAGTGTTTTGCTTTTCGTTTGAACTCAAAAGAAGATATTTGGAAGAATGTTGGAAGCCACCCAGCAAGCACACAACATCATAGGATGTTAATATTAGGTTTAATTTAGGACGTAACATCAGGTGATCAAAATTGAATGTCTAGCCAGCGTCTAAGGACAAGGTTATTTTGACGTTCAATAACGACGTGGAATGACGTTGAAATTTGGTTGATTTTAGGTTGTGTTGGAAAGTGACCAAAATCCAACATTGAGCCAACCTCTTAAACCAACCTAATATTGATGTCAGATACTGACATTTATTCGTCAGGTATGGCAACCAAAATGCAACGTCTGATAGACGTCATAGTGGGAACATCCACACAACATTGAGCTGTAACATCATTTGATGTTGATTTTAGGTGATTTTAGGCTGGACATTGACGTTGACCTGACGTTATGTCCTGACCCAATTTTCATTTCCAAACAAAATGCAAAATCTTCACGACATTGGGGTACGAAGTCAATCTGACGTCTTGTTGACATCCTGTGCAATTTCACTATACGAAAGTATATGTGACAAATAAAGGCCTGATTTGTGCCTGCTGAGCAGTAGCAGCTACTGGCTTCCAACATTTTTCCAACTATCTTCTTTTGTGCTGAACAATACTTCTGTAACTTATATTATTATAAAAGTACATTACTCATACGCACCTCCAGAAGTTGTTCTTTGTCTTTTTCTTTCATGTCCTTTAGAGATTTCTTATCCTTTTTCCACAAATAAAAGATCTGCAAAATAATCCCACAATTCATGTTTACCACGGGACTTCTTCGAAGACCTTTGAATCACACTAGAGTTAAATCTCTCAAAGTTCTACTGATCTCTGTTCCATTTTCAGGGTACTACAAATGGAGAAGTTTGTGAATTCCTACAGGGCTGGAAATTTCACAATTCTTACAGACGGAGGAAACAATATACTGAGGGAAAAGTAACCACTATTTTTAGAGCTTCTAAAAACGGTCCAAATACTTGCCTGAGGGTTTTTGAACACTTCGTACTTGTGTTTTTTCTCCTGGAAAAGCACTTTGTTTTCAGTGTCCCTCGTCCATGTAGACAGAGGCTCCACTAGATTCTCGTGGTCCTCAAAGGCCCGCTCTGTGGAGAGTTCACATTCACTTCAGATCTGAGTTTCAGCTCAAAATTCCACACAGGTATATTTGTATAACTCGTTGAAGCTGACCCTTTTAAGCTTTTATCTAAATTGCGCCATTTTGGTGACTGTCGCTTTAAATTCAAATGAGATCATGCTCTTTTGAAAAGAGAGCTGGGCTACAAATGCCAATGCATCAGCATAGTGGCAGATTTAAAACAGGACTAACGTTATCTCGGAAAATGTCTATACGAGACTACGGTGTTCATGAATGGCTTTAATTTTGGATAACTAACCTCTTAATAGCCCACAGTACCTCCCACTGCATTGGTGCTAACACAGACATTGTGGTCTAGTATGTTATAGGTTGTCTGCAGGTTCTCCGCTTAAGACCACATATACTGATTAAAAACGGGAATGAAGACAGCTTACGGGTGGTCTGACGTTTAGTGTGGTTACTGGCATTAAAGCCATGGTGTGAGTCTGCTTCACAGGCAATAAATGGAAGCTATTTTCCCCGAGCATGTGCATGATTTCCTGCGTCCCTCAACTCGATGAGAGCACACTAAGGGATGATGTACACTCTTAAAAATAAAGTTAAACAAAGGGGGTTTTCCCAGCGATGCCATAAAGGAACCGTTTTGAGTTTTGCAATAAACCTTCCAGTGAACAGTTCTTAAAAGAAGGACCACTTTTTGTTTTGGAGTGACGGACATATTAAAGGGATTGATCACCTAAAATAAAACAGAAAATTCTGTCATTATTTACTTACTTTTCACTTGCTCAAAACCTATTTGAGTTTCTTACTTTTGTTAAGCACAAAAGAAGACATTTTAAGGAATGCTGGTATTCATGAACTTTTAGTAACTGTTTTCCTATATTTATAGAAGTCAGTGGATGCCAGCATTTTTCAAAATATCTTCTTTTGTGTTTAACAGAAAACCCATGAGGGGAATAAATTGAAGTCATTTTCATTCCATCCCTTTATTAAATTACACTTTGTAGTTAAATGTTTAAGAATAAATATTTTGTTGAATTATAGATGAAAAAATTTAATTTGTTCCCACTTTATATTAAAAACTTAATTGATATGTGCCTTGGATTTAATTGAATATTCCAATGTTCTAATTATTTACACTACATACTTGTTTTTACATTGTACTTATACTTTAAAAATGATCTGTATGTAAGTAAATCTGTAATTAATTTCTTTCATTATATTTATATTTCCACTGTTTACCCATCTCTTACTCACACTTAAACTACTACCAAACATGTCCCTTTACCCCTATTCCATCTCAATAGCACTATGCAATACAATATAAGACATTGTATTCATTTTTGGTGCAATAATCTAATATATACAGTTGAAGATTTTGCCAGGATGACAGTAAATAATATTTGACTAGATATTTTTCAAGACACTTCTATACAGCTTAAAGGGACATTTTAAGGTTTATTTAGGTTAACTAGGCAGGTTAGGGTAATTATGCAAGTTATTATATAACGATGGTTTGTTCTGTAGACTATCAAAAAAATATATAGCTTAAAGTGGCTAATAATGTAGTCTGTAAAATGGTTTTTAAAAAATTAAAAACTGCTTTTATTCTAGCCGGATTAAAACAAATAAGACTTTCTCCGGAAAAAAAAAATATCATCAGACATACTGTGAACATTTCTTTGCTTTGTTACAAATCGTTTGGAAATTGTTTATAAAGAAGAAAATATATCAAAAGAGGGCTAATAATTCTGACTTCAACTGTATATAGAGTTTAGTTGAGTACAAACAGAAACTAAACAATTATATGCAAATATACTTTGTCTGTGTGTGTCAGCTGTTAAAATAATCTCTCATCATTTCTCTTATGATTATAAGTCACTCACACTAAGAATCATCATGCGAGAATGATGCTTTTCTAAAATTAACATGGGTGTAACAATTTTCCAAAGCACTTTAACATAGATACACTTTGACTGTAACCATGTCAGATTGTTTTTTTTTTGCCTATATATATATATATATATATATATATATATGGAATTAAAAGGCCTATTAGGTAGTGATTAGTTACTTAAAATGAGTAAACCATTTGCCTTAAAAGCAACAAGTTGACTTTACAAAAATAATGTACATAAACCCATTGTAACTTGAAACTTGAGTACTCAAAAAACAAGTGGTTTCAATTAGTTTTTTTAATTAAAACTAAAACAAATCCAGTGTTATGTACTTAATTACTTGCACCTTTTAAAGTTTAGAACCTTAGGAAAATTAATTAGCTGAAATTGTTAAATTTTTTTGTTTGTTTTCAAATTTACTGTTCATGCTTATAATTTTTTTTTATTTGTATTAAACCACAGGTTTTAATTTTTTTACAAAACAAAAACATGAACTCTCCCATATATATATAATAAAATCAGTGTGGACTTAACCCAACCCAATTTCTTTGGGTTGCTACAAGTTAAATATTTTTTTAAAGTAACTGACAGATATAATTACCTTTAAATTAGCCGCATTTTTAAATTGATGTAATAATCAATATTTTCCTGTTTTGAAAACTTAATCAAATTATTCTGCCAACTTAAAAGTTTTAGTCTAATCAGTATTTTAGAATTTTTAAGTTACTACAATGTATTAAACTATGTAGTGGCAACAGACCTCTTCAGTTGTTTTTTAGAGTGTACAGTCCACGTGAGGGCAGGTTACTGGATAACAGTGGTTTGTTCTGGATATATACATTTCTTAAAAGGGGTAATACTAAATATTTTACATCAGAACTGAAAATTAAAATTATTTTGTTCTAGCTAAACTAAAATAAACAAGACTTTATCCAGAAGGAAAAAAAAATTAGCAGAAAGAACTGAAAGGCTAGACTAGCCTATGCTATATGCAGAGAACTGGTCCAAAGTTCATTTTGATGATGAAGCTAAGTTTAATTTAACATTTGTTATCAAATAGCGGAAAGACGGAATTAAAAGTGTGTATAACAGTCAGTGAAATGTGGAGGTTAAGAGTCATAGTTTGGTGAGGTTTTCTGCAGTGGTAGTTGGTCTCTCATACAGCAATATGACTGAATGAATGCTCAAGTTTATCGGGAGATCCTTCTAAAAAAAATGCAGTTTCTTTATTATGTTCATCACCAAATCAGACAGCAATTTATCAGGACAATGAGCTCCATCCAAGACCAAAATAGGTCAAACTGTTCCTATAAGCAAAGCTGAAAACATCAAAATATTAAAATGAAATGTAATATAATGAAATGGCCAGTCCTGAGTCTTGATGTAAACTTGATTAAAAATCTCTAGAAAAATGTTGGTGATAAAGTAATGGCTGAGAAACCCATGTCAGTCATGGTGGAGTGGAGTGTGGGAAATCAGGTAAGTGTGAGAATCTATTAATGTCTTTTAGCCGCAATTGTGAAGTCATTCAAACCAAAGAGGTTTAAACAACCTACTATGCTCCCACTGAACCAAATAATAAGAAAGAACTAAATCTCTTACCACAGTTATGCTGATGACACTCAGATCTATTTAGCCTTATTTCCTAATGACTACAGCCCCACTGGCACCCTTTTCCAATGCATTGATCAAATGAACAGTTGGATGTGCCAAAACTTTCTTCAGTTAAACAAAGAGGAAACTGAAGTGAATTTGGGAAAAGAGATGAGGTAACAAGGTGAACGCGTACCTCTAAGGGTCAAACAACAACAACAACAACAACAACAACAAAAAATAAGGTTAAGAATTTTGGTGTTATTCCGGAGTCAAAACTGAGTTTCAATAGTCACGTCAAAGCAGTAACTAAATCAGCATACTATCATCTCAGAAACATTGCAAGAATCAGATGCTTTGTTTCCAGTGAGGACTTAGAGAAACTTGTTCATGCTTTTATCAGCAGCAGGATGTATTACTGTAACAGATTCCTTCCCAAAATGACAGTCAGACAGTTGCAGCTCATCCAGAACTCTGCTGCCAGGATTCTGACCAGAACCAGAAAATCAGAGCACATCACACCTGTCCTCATGTCTTTACACTTGCTCCCAGTTACATTCATAATAAATTTTAAAGTATTATTACTTGTCTATAAGTCACTAGAACCTCAATACATTACAGTATGATCAATGAATACAAACCTATCAGATCACTCCGATTATTAGGATCGAGTAAATTAAAAATTCCAAAAGTTCAGTCAAAGTATGAATCTGCCTTCAGGTAATGAGCCCCCCGCTACTGGAATCAGCTATAAGAAATGATCAGATGTGCTCCAACAATATATATATATATATATATATATTCTTTCTCATTATTTAGTTCAGTAGGAGCATATAAAAGAGGAGAGGTGCCAGAATTTACCTTTGTGGGTCTCCACTGTTAAGCAGTCTAAAATTAGTAGGTTGTTTACAGGCCCTTGTATGGGTTTCTCAGCCATTACTTTGTCCCCAGAAATTTTTCCCGGAAATTTTCAATCAGGTTTACCTCAGGACTCTGGCCTGGCCATTTCATTACACTACATTTCATTTCATTACTTCAATCTTTTTAATTCTAATGTATATTAGAGTTGATTTTAAAACCAGAGGCTCAGTTCTTTACTTAATATTGTCAAATATTCATAGTAGAAAATTTTCTGAGGGCCGTCAAAATTTGGTAAAAATCATCAAAAACACTGCCAGGAACCTAAAAAAAAATTGGTGGGGAAAGAGTAAATGTTTATCTGCACTTTATTGCCATTTTATCATTTTAAATATCTTCATGTGGTGATTAAAGAACACTTAAAAGTGTGCATTTAATACAGTTAAGCACACTTTTTTTTATATAAAGAAAAATCAAATGGAATTAGATGAAACAAAGCTGAATGCAACAAAGGAAATAAATCATGTCTCTTTGAGTCTATTCATTTACATTTTGGCAGCCAGAAAGAAGAACATATGGCAACGGCTGTAGATGAAGCCTCTCAGCAGATGGAGAAAAAGAAATGGGGGATCTCGATCATAAGGACTGTATTTCCTCATGATAGGGAGGTTGAGTGACATGTCTGGGGCAGTAAATTAAACCCACCTGTCATTCGATGTGTGAGAGCGAATGTGGATATTGATACGTCAGCTGTACGCTGAGCTCATTGGAGCCAGCACGCCAATGAAAACACACTTCATCATCTTTGCGAAGACGACAGAATGGACATACTGTATACTGTTGAAGTCAGAATTATTAGCCCTCCTGAATTATTCGCCCCCCTGTATATTTTTCCCCCAATTTTTGATTAACGTAAAGAAGATTTTCTTCAACACACTTCTAAACATAATAGATTTAATAACTTATTTCTAATAGCTGATTTATTTTATCTTTGCCATTACAACTGAAAAATCTAACTAAGGATCTGAGAATCCTGTAGCAAACTGAATGTGTGTGTTGTTTCAAGAAAACAACCCTTCATTTGATTTATTTATTCTTCATTTAATTATTTTATTTAATCATATGATGATTAGTCATTTATATAATTAAATTATCATTATATTATTTTTTATTGATTATTAGTTAATGATTTTATTATTATTTGTCATTTTATTATGTTTTTAATTTTATTATTATTATTATTATTATTTTCCTATAATTATTGCTTCAATATAATTTCATTTTTCCATATTGTTATGATATTATGACTGTGTGGATTCAAATGACACTTGTTTTCCATTTCAAGGTCTGTATTGTCACTGGATAATGTTGTAAAGCAGTCATTTTCCATTGCTTTTGCTTGTGGTATAATAACACTTGTTGGATGTATCATCATTACTTATCATCATTGCTTCATCTTCTGCTTCGGCTCCTCTCTGGCTCTTTTAATCAACTCCTATATTGATAGGAGACTGTTAATTTAGTCGAACACTGGTTGACAAGTTTGGGTATTGGCCGGCTCCTCTGGCTATTTGTCAGGCCACCCAGAGAAACAGAATCTGGCATTCAGGGCTATATCTTATTTCTAACTCAACAGTACATAATATTTTACTAGATATTTTTCAAGATACTAGTATTCAGCTTAAAGTGAAATTTAAAGTCTTAACTAGGTTAATTAAGCGAGTTAGGGTAATTAGGCATGTCATTGTATAACGATGGTTTGATCTAAAGACCTTCAAAAAATATATATATATTGCTAAAGGGTGCTAATAATATTGACTATAAAATGGTTTAAAATATATATATAGAAACTGCTTTTATTCTAATCGAAATACAACAAATAAGACTTTCTCCAGAAGAAAAAATATAGGAAATACTTTGAAAAAATTCATGCTTTGTTAAAAATCATTTAACAAATATCTGAAAATAAAAAAATTCACAGGATATAATTTTGATTTAACTGTGTTGATGTTACTAAGTGTGTGTGTGTGTGTGTGTGTGTGAGACAGAATGTGTGTGTATGATACTCACCAGTCTGTAAGTCAGGGTTGGTCTCACACACACTCCAGTCCACATTGCAGTCGCAGTGTGTCTTCTCAAAGAGGTTGTCCATCACGTCTCGAACTGTTTGTCTCTCATCCACCATCAGAGTCTTCGAGCTGCCATCCGTAATCTCCACTTTCACCACCAGCTATCACAACAAACCACAAATAACACAGATACAGTCAGTTAATGAAGATCGTTTGGGTCTTGAATAATGTTATGGTTTATTGACATCTGTGCAATAAGACTGTGAAACAAAACAAGCTGTGCAGTGCTTTGAATGTTGGACAGACGGTTTATGAGCATTCTGAAATGTGGTCTAAAGGAGTCTAGTGGCTAATGCTGCTAGAAGAGTTTCAATACACAGTGTATAGATATTTGGAAGACAGAGATATGAATGGTCTTATAGCTGAATAAGATTTCTGTGAAACTGATGGAAGGAATTTTGGACAGTATGTTTAAAGGGAATTACTGGCTCTCATGTTGGCATGTGAACTAGCCCATATTTCGGTATCAACACTAATGTTAAAAGTGTGTAGCTTCCCACTTTGCAAAATTTCTCCGGCCCACACAATCAGCTTTGTTTGGCCCATATGTCGCAGTGAATTACAGTACATGACTGGACAAAGTCTTGCTTCCAGACAAGGGCCAAACATGGACCACATCTGGGCCAAGTCTCAGCCAAGTTAATAACCCATAACTGGAACTGAACTGTCGTTTGGCCATAGTCTGGCAGCCAAAATTGGTGTATCACAACTGCAATGAAATTGATAAACCCATAAAGCGTTTTGTTTTAGAAGTGTTAACAATGGTAATGGTTAATAATGGTTAATAATAATATAATTTGTAAAATAATAATTTGGTAATATAATAATAATAATAATAATAATAATAATAATAATAATAATAATAATAATAATAATAATAATAATAATAATAATTTGTATTTAATAAAATAATTCAAATAAATTTTAAATGTGGGTCAAGATAAGCCAAACTTGGCCCACATGTCCATTTTTAACATCTGGGCCAAATACTACATTTGACATCTGGCCCTTGTCTTGTGTGCCACCTTAAAGATGGTGCAACCTCTGCCAAACCCAGGCTGTGTTTGGCCCACATGCAGTGAACACCTGCTGTACCAGTTTATGCCAAATCTGGGCCAGCATTCTGGGTTAGCTAATTCAAAATAAAATTTTGACTGCAGCCCTGTTTCTACAGGCCACATTTTGCAGTTGCAGTTGCGACTTAAAATCTTTCTAAGCCTCTCTAAACTTTAGCTCACATAAACCAAATTGATATTCAACCACACCAAATAATGAGCTAATATTATCACAGGTGTTCAGCAAAATATGGTAGGTTACTTACGTGGGAATTTTTAATTTACAAAAGACAGCCATGGCCGATTTGCACAGGATTAAGCTAGATAACCTCTGTAATAATTACAAATGACCAGAGTTCCTGTAATATCAAGCCGTGCAAATAGGGCTTTGGATTCAAACTTTACAGAGATTTAAAGGAATAGTTCCTCCCCCCCGAAAAACACACACACAAAAAAACTAATTACAATTTTGGAAGTCAATGGTTATAGGGTTTCAACATTTTTTTAAATGTTTTTTAGGCAACTTCCACACTCACCTTTTTAACTTTGGCCTCCTTTAGTTTCTCCAAAGCGAGCTTGATTTTATCTGCTTTGAGCTGTTCCTCTTCTTCCTCCTGAAGGATTCAGAATAAACATCATCTTACAACATACAACCACAACTTTTGTTGTTGTTTTTTTTACAAAAAAAAATTGTAAAAATGACTATATAAAATGGTTGCTGTGGTGGCCAGAACTTTACTGTCATTAATATGGTAGAAACCTTAAAGATTTCCCATTTCCAATCTGTTAACCATATTTCATTCATTTATAGTATTATGCACCAGTGTTATGAAGTACGAACCATACCTTTGTTACTCACACATAAGCATGCACAACCATAAACAGGCAGTGATAAGAAAGTCATAGGATGAACCAAAGCTCATTACAAATAACTTTTCCCACAAGCAGGGAAACATATTAAACATCCCCGGTTGTTTAACAGAGAAACATCCCCTTTTGCAATGTCTATGCCTAGAGCAGTTTTTTTTTTTGGTCACATTTTATTTTGATGGTTCATTTGTTGAATTGAAGTTACATTGCATCTACATGCCAACTAATTCTCATTAACAAAATAAGACTTCAAAACTCACTGAAATATATCTTGATTCCTAAAAAAGTTGCAATGAAATTACTTCAAATTTAATGAAATCATAAATCTGTGATTTGCTGTAAAAATGCAGGTTTCCACACAAATCTTTCATGTTGTCCCAACTCAAATCAGTTATGTTAATTGTTTTTACAAAGAATTTAACATAAAACAATTAAGTTGTTTTAAAAAAAACTCAAGAATTGTGTTGTTTTAAATAAGTAGTTTGAACAAGCAGCAAAAATTATCTTTATGTCCCTTTTTTTAACAGCATTTTGGTTAACACTTTATTTTGATGGTCCATTTGAGTATCAGTACTGTCTGCTTAATGTCTGCTGATACTGCTCCTTCAACAGACATTTAACTGTCTATTAGTAATTTCGCAAGTACATGTCAACTTACACACCCTAACCCTAACCTCAACCCTAACCCCAACCTAACAGTCTACTTATAATCTAAAGGGATGTTAGAGGTCTCTACATACATGTGCAACATAAGTCTAATGACTGCAGAGTAAAAAGGGAAATGTGCTTAACAAATGTATGTGTGAACTAAATGCATTTTTAAAGTAGCTGGTTTTGTGTATAAAACAACACAGCAGAATAGATACACTTCCTTAAAGCCTGACCAAAGATTATTAAAACAGCATTTAATACTCACTTGACTTTAAAACTTTTTATTATTAAAAGTGATTTAAAAATACTCAATTGTGGAAAAAACAACCTTATATTTCATTAATATTATATTACATGTAAATACAGTTTTTATTAAATACAATGCAGTATAATTAAATATCTTCTTTTTTAAAGTACTATTTTAAGTGCATATTCAATACGTATAAAGTATAAAGTGCGTATTTTTTAAGTGTAAAAATTCTTTAATACACTTTCAGAAATAAAGGTCACAAAACAAAACACAAACTGTCCGATATGCTTTCAAAAAGTACACTTTTGCATGTAAAGGAGACATATTAGTACGTAAAGAATCCATAATGGTACCTTAAAAGTAAATATTGTACCCAAAGGGTCCATAATGGTCCTTAAAAGTAAATATTAGTACCTAAATGCCCCACAATGGGATTTTAAAAGTAAATATCAGTACCTAAAGGATCCATAATGGTACCTTAAAAGTAAATTTTAGTAACTAAAGGATCCATAAAGGTATCTTAAAAGTAATTAGTAACTAAATGATGCACAATGGTATCTTAAAAGTAAATATAAGCACCAAAAGGATCCATAATAGTATCTTAAAAGTAAATATTTGTACCAAAAGGAACCATAATGGTACATTAAAAGTAAATATTAGTACCTAAAATACCCATAATGGTATTTTAAAAATAAATATTACACCTAAAAGATCCTTAATTGTACCTTAAAAAATATAAATAATATTACTAATCATACATTAATAATAATACATTAACAATATTGCTAAAAATGAAAAAAAAGTATTATACTAATAACTATATATAAGTATATATATATATATATATATATATACACACACACACACACACACACACACACACACACACACACACACACACACACACACACACACACACACACACACACACTTATATATAGTTATTAGTATAATAGTAATATTTTTTTCTTTCTACATTACAAGGGCTTCTGGCATCCAAAATATAAAAATAAATAAATAAAAAGATGTATGCAATGCAAATAGTCTCTGTAGATTTTATAACCATGCTGTCTATCATGTTGTGCAGTCTCTGTATTGGGGATACACATGAAATGCTTTTATAGCTAAACTTTCCACTTGAAGTTTTGGAATAGAGCTGATCTCTATTAAAAAGCAGTCTGGATATGTCCTGTTATACATTCCGTCATGAACTTGGCTAGACATGAAATACCATTCAATAAATATCCGGCCGAGCTAACACTGCAATCATGAGGATAATTACATTTTTATGCTTGGGCTTTTATTTCATTTATTTTTTGTCATGCAGAGTAGAAATGGATTCTGTAGGCATACATAAAGTTCATACTTTATAGTGTCACAGGACTTAAATTGCAGCCTTCAGCTAAAGAGGTGTTAACCGCATGAGGCCAGTGGGTGTGCGGACCTTTCAGAATGAGACTTACTTTTGAAGGTTTAAATGCGGGTGGTGGAGGTGGAGCTGCGATGGAGTTGGAGGAAGTTGCTGGTTTAGAGCTGTCGAATGATGCTGGGAGGCTAAAGTTACTCTGAGGCTTTGAGGGCGCTGGGGCAACTGAAACTGACCCCTTTGATGTGTCTCTTTCTGTGGCAAACTTTTCCTCCGTGGCACTTATATCTGCCACAAGGTCAGCCATCAAGGCGTCTAAGTCATTGTCTTCCAGATCGTTCAGGGATTCTTGTAGAAAAACAATAGGGGGAAAAGTGAAAGTTGAGAGCTTGTAGTGATAATAACACATGACATGCAGAGGAATCAAACAATATGATGATATAACAATTGGGTATACAAAGAACTCTGTGTGGAAGATCCACACAAATCAAAACAAACTAACTTAATTGTTTGGTAACATTTACAGTAAGCTTGTATTAGTTAGTTACACAGGTAATGCATGTATTAACATGAACAAACACTGACCAATGCATTTATAGCAGTATTTATTCATTTGTGTTGATGTTATTTAATGGAAAGAAAGTTGTTTGTTGTCAGTTCATGTTAACGCAGTGTATTAACTAATGTTAACAAGCATGAATTTGCATTTTTTATGCACGAGCGACTGTTGAACTATGATAGGTAAATGTTGTACTGGTATTTTTCATTATATAGGCAGCTTACTCTCTGCATTTCCTAAATGATCGCCCACTGAAGCTAAGCAGGGCTGCGCCCGGTCAGTACCTGGATTGGAGACCACATGCGAAAGCTCGGTTGCTGCTGGAAGTGGTGTTAGTGAGGCCAGCAGGGGGCGCCAAACCTGCTGTCTTTGTGGGTTCTAATGCCCCAGTATAGTGACAGGGACAGGGACTAAAATATTGACCTTATTTTAAAATGCGGAAGTGCGCCTGTTTTCGCGATTGTTTTAGAACTTCCGATTCAGTCGTCTATGGGAGAAATGACTAGGAATAATAAACGGCAGAAAACGGTCAACCTGCAAACAAATGTTTGCATGACTATACAGACCAAATAGAATAATATAATAAGAAAATATAAGTTTGCAACATCAAACAGCAAAACAAGCAGTTTTTAATGTCTAAACATGAATGGAAGTGAATGAGACCGGAAGTCTCGAGCCAAAAATATTCAAATGGCTGCGCCCAATTGTCGGTGAAGAATACGGTAAATACTGCTCTGTGAGCGCCGTCTTTCGGATGAGATGGTAAACCGAGGTCCTGACTCTCTGTGGTCATTAAAAATCCCAGGATGTCCTGAGTAGAAAAGAGTAGGGGTTTAACCCCGGCATCCTGGCCAAATTTGCCCACTGGTCTTTGTCCATCATGCCTCCTAACCATCCCCATAAAATAATTGACTTCATGACTCTGTTTCCTCTCCACCAATCAGCTGGTGTGCGGTCTGGCGCAAAATGGCTGCCGTCACGTCATCCAGGTGGATGCTGCACACTGGTGGTGGATGAGGAGATTCCTCCATATGTGTAAAGTGCTTTGAGTTCCCAGAAAAGCACTATATAAATGTAAGAAATTATCATTATTAGGTCATTTTTGTAAATGCATTAACTAATGAAACCTTTTTGTAAAGTGTGACAAATTGTTTTTACAAATTAAAGTGGTTTTAACATAAAACAATTAAGTTGTGCCACAAAATATTAGCAATTGTGTTGTACAAACTCATTTTAAATAAGTATTATGAACTAGGAGCATTTTTGAGTGTATATTTGAAAATTTAAAGGGAAAATGTACTCACTATTTACTCTCCCTTAAGGGGTTCCAAACCTATGTTTGTTTCTTTATTTATGTTGACCACAAAAGAGGGTAGTTTGAAGAAAGCTGGAAACCTGGAACCATTGACTTAGGCAAAACAAATACTGTGAAAGTCAATACATGTTACATGTTTCTAACATTCTTTAAAATATCTTCTATTGTGTTTGACAGAAGAAAGAATCTCATAAAGGGTTGAAACAAGAAAAAAGAAAGCACATGATGACTCATTTTTTTGGGTAAAATATTATACACAAATTTATGTACAATATGGACTGGCCTAATGGATTGGGTTGGGATGGGTTTGGTTTTACCAACATTAGAAGAAAAATAAGAGTTAAAATACCACAGTATCTTTTGAGTGTACTTGCAGGAACTTACATATACTTGTAATTGTATTTACGAGACAACTGGCTTGTTGGGCTTGTTTTATGGTACCTTATGGTATCTTATATCAAATGGTATTATGGTATCGTCTCCTATATTTGCAGTATAATTTATATTATTGGCTATACCAGCACTTTTTGGCCTGAAATAAAAATAATAATGAATAAATAAAAAAGATGTACGTTTTGTTTGTGCTTATGGAACCATCATTGCATCTGTGCACACTACAAAATTATCAACCATATTAAAAAAAAAAAAATTAGATTGGATTGGGTTAGGGTTAGAACATTAGTTAAAAATGTAATTTAAAAGTTCTACCCATCAGTTGTGTTTGTCAATATATGTTGCCAAAATCTGTGTTCAGGGTAACCCAGGATTTTTGTATAATGTACTAATTTAGTAATTGTAATAATATACATTATTCATACCAATAAAACTAATATTTTAGGTTAAATCATGCACTATTACAGTGTATTCACAGTCAGTATTCATCAGCCTTGTGCCAAGAATATTATTAATTTATTTAGAAATATTTATCACTAGCTTATTCTCCTTAGCAGTGCTGAGTTCTTGAGCTTAGAGAAGTCAGTATAAGCTTTGCTTGCAGACATTATAAAGAAACGTTTAGTACTTCAAACAGCCCGTGCATCTTTGAGCCACCCTCAGACACAATTTTAAGCAATTTTATGGCTAATTAATAACAAATGGACTTCAAAAAGCAACTCAGTTGATGAATAGAGCCTTTCAGGTGAAATAACCCCCTCAGAAGCCTGGTGAAAATGTTAGGTTAAAAATATTTAGTTACCATTAAAATTTGCGAAACCGATGGAAAAGTTCATTTCCTGAGGTTCAGGAATGGTGGGAGGTTTAGCCAAAGGTGCAGAATCTACTTCTGCATCCAAACTCTGCAAAACATACAAATGAGGAACACACAAACATTAAAAAGCAAACACTGAAGCTATTTTTTAAGTACAGGAACTTACTTATCAGCATGTAAATGACATGTACTGTACATCAGTCTTAATAGCCGCGCTTCCTACTTTTATGTTCCATATCATTTGCAGCTGCTGACTTACACTTAAAAAATGGATCATGTCTTATTACTGAAACGTTTGTAAAAAGTGTATTGTCACTGTTTGAGTAAGAGTAAACAGTAATGCTCATAAGCACAGAAAATTTTTATTACTGCCATTTCATTAAACAGATTACAGGTGTATTTGTTGTGTTTATGAGCACTGCTGTTTTCTCCTTCTGTTTTCAAACATTGACAATATACTTTTGTCTGGAGGAACATGAGACGTATTAATAGAAAACACACAGTACCTGCGTTAGGAGATCCATCTCCTGCAGCATATCGCTGAACATGGCATCAATGTCATCCATCTACAACAGAATTAAACAATTCATATAGTACATACAGTAATTCATACAAGTACTCATACAGTTGACAAAAACCTCATAAAGACTCTTAATAATATGATTACAGTACATAAACAAACTGAAATTCAGCTATAACACAGACCCTTGTGATACAAACTATAAACTAATAAATACATGGGAATGCAAACATTTTTCCAGTCTAATTAAATGTGTTGTTTATTAATATGGCTATATAAAATGATGAATCAAGTTTGGTCAGTGGGTCCTTTTGCACATTTCCGAGGACATCTGAAGCAGAAGTCATTATAGAGTAAAGTTCTGAAGTGAAAAAAGGTTGCATTCCTGTTTTTTTTTAATATATATATTTTTTTGATAGCCAAAAAATAAAATAAATAAAAATAGACTTTCAGTAGACTTTCTATGACTTTCCAAAGGAGTACAATGTACTGAGAGCTTAGTTAAGGTGGTCAGAAGAACAAAATTTGACTTTGTTAAATATTTTATTATCACTATTTCTTTATTTACTTTATTAAAAACCATTATGAATTTATTACAAGGTGTAGACTTGTTGGTGGATATACTTCAAGCAGTTTAGCATGTATTTATAATGTAAAGAAAAGAATGTAAATAAAAGCTATTATTTTAAAGTTTCTTTTTATCAGGGAATACAAAAAGTATAATGTATCACAGTTTCCATGCTATGAAGCAAAAGACAGAACAGCTCTGATAACTGTAAGAATTCTTATAAGTAATGTTTTTCTTATCACTTGTTCTTATCTCTTATTTCAAATCACTAATTCTAATTAGTGATTTGATCTTATGTTTGGATTTTATAGTGTTTGTATAGATGTTCTTGTTGTTATGGTCTGTTGCAATGTAATTTCGTTCTGCATTACAATTTTATTGTGATACTTTGATTGACAAAAAAATTAAATAAAGGAAACTGAAGCTGATTTTGAACCAATAATAAGTGATCATAATAAAACGACAGGCAATGGTCAAATTGGGCAAAGAGGAGCATTCAAGAAATCCAAGTCAAAAGCAGGCAAATGGTCAGGTCACATGGCAAAACAACTAGAGGTGGCTGACATGAAACTGACGTTTTGACAGTGTAGAGATGCCAAAGAGCAAGTGTTTTCGAAACCCTGCATGGAAGCATGATCCGAAACACCCAGGTCACGTGACTAAGTTGATTCGAAACATTGGTCATTTCAGAAGCGTTTCAAGACCTGGTGAATATGCATTTGACTGACAGGGTGAGCAAAAACTTATATCTCATAGTGTACCGTGCATGTGATTAGATCGTACGAATTCATACGAATTAGCCACTAAATGAAAAAGTTACGAATTGCCATGAGATTGTGTTGATTACTTTTATTCCAAGATGTAAATCCTGGAGGGCTGGTATCCAGCATAGTTTAGCTCCAACTTCCTTCAACACACCGGCCTGGAAGTTTCCAGTAAACCTAGTAAGAGCCTGATTAGCTGATTTAGGTGTGTTTAATTGGGGATGGAACTAAAATATGCAGGACGCTGGTCCTCCAGGACCGAGTTTGGGCACCCTTGGCCTAACGTATGTGTCAAAACTTTCATGTATATTCAAGACCACATATTTAAAGTAAAAATAAAATGGTTGATCCAGTGCTTGAGAACTGAATGTGAGACAGAGCCATACACACAGTGGGATTAATGAAGTCAAGCTCTAATGAGTGACTAATATTTTGTGTCTCGGATGTTGTCGTTCTGGATAATCTGACTTAAACTAGTTTTGCAACTGCTGTGAATAATTGGTCAGCCAGCTGGTGTCATTTATTCTGGTTCCAGCAGCATGTAGAGTGGAGTACCTGTGCACATGCGAAACACATAACCCAAAGCTAAACATTGCATAATATCCAGAGGCTAGAGATAAAAGCATGGCTTGCATAACTCCTTAACATTCATTCTTTGCCAAGACATGCAGAATCCTGCCCGTCAATGCTCAGTACAGCCAGAGCGTACAATATTACAGAAAATATAAGCTGCATGCAAATCAATTCTTGTTAAAATCTTATTCTATTGTGAACATTAAGGAACTTTACCATGGCTAATCCATCTGTCTGTCGCTGAACTATAATGAGACAAACAATTACTGTTAATCTTGGTCCAAAATACCCGACTGGTCTACTTCCTTTTATTTCTGCCACATTCAGCAATTAGTTTGTGAAACGGCTTTGAATAAATGCAAATGTTATCAGTTTTCATACATAGATTGTGCTGTGGAGTCAAATGATTCCTCTTATTGTTTGGTTTATAGAGAAGGAGGTATTTCTTTTAATTGTTTCAACTGAAAATGAAAATGCGTTTTGGGTGTTCATTTACATGATAACTGTGTACTAGAAGCCTGAACATGCTTTTTTAAAGTGTGTGATTTATTTATTTATAGTGAATTTAGTCAGTCAATGGCAATGTAATTACATTTAGAGCATGAGAAAAAATGTATTTGCCAATTAAGAAAATATATATATTTATTTATATGCTATTTAATGTCCATCTTTTTTCTTTTTTTTTTTTTTTAGAGAATTATTTAGCACACTATTTTGCTTTATGTCGAATGCTTGTAAAATGACCGTAAGAGGGTTTTACACTAATACACCAAGCTATACACCAATGTGATAATCGACAAGTTTTCTGTGATGTTATCTAAAAATGTTATCAGAATAATGACATTTATATAATTTCCCTTTTCACTTTTGATTCCCATACTCAGAAATAAAGGTACAAAATCTGTTCCAGTACACTTACACGTACCAGTACACTTTCGTAACTTTAAGGTACTATGAGGCACATGTTTGTCATTTTTAGGTGTTAATATGTACTTTTATGGATAGAAATGTCCCTTTTAAAAATGTTCCACCCCAGTGACAGGTTTTGTATCTATATTTCTGATTGTAAATGTGTAATAAACATGCTTAAACATAGTCCTGTAAACGTTTTTGTGTATGAATCGATTTTCTGACTCCTATTATGAAACCCCATTATATTTTCCAAAGAGTTTGTTACGATGATCTATGTTGTAAAGCATATATATTTTCTTAATATATAATTTTTATTTTTATGTGCAGTCCTAAACTGTTGTTTGAAGAGCAGGTAGATTAAAGTTAGTAGTTAAACATAGACAAATGAATCACACGTTTTAAACAACTACAGTAAAGTTTACTTTCACTTCCACATTCCAGAATAAGCTCAATACGGTTGCTTCTGGGGGAGTATTCTGTCAGAATCTGTCTATCACCTGAGACTGCATACTGTATCTCCGAGATGCAATGTCAGACTCAATGCACTCAATGGAGAGAGTGATGTCACTGTGAGGAATAAGGCTAGGATTTTGCACCAGGTCTGCATCCAGACCCCTCTCAAATCCGGTGAAAACATTCACGTTGCTTTTCATACTTAGATTTTTTTGTCTTATTTCTAGTTCAAATATCTAAAAAGCCTTAAATTAAGAAGCATTGTTTAGACAAGCAGAACATTGTCCAAAATATTATCTTGTTTTAGGACAAAAATTTACAAATTTTTCCTTAAAACAAGCAAAATAATTTGCCAACGGGGTAAGCATTATAATAATTTGTGTCAAAAAGAAAAACAAGATTATTTAGCTTTTCCCATTGGCAAATTAGCTTCTTTTAAGAAAAAACTAACCTACTTTTGACATATTATTTCATAAAAAAAGCCAATATTTTTTGCTTTTCTACAAAATGATTCTTAATTTATGAATCTTTAGATGTTTAGACTAGAAACTAGACTAAAAAACAAAGTAAGAAATTATTTTGTTTGCAGTGTATGATATTCACAAAATACAATGCACCTAAATCAATGTGGTTTATTTTAAACATTGTAATAAAGACAGAGCTGTTTAATACTCAACTCTTAAAACCATCTGTCTTCATGTAATCAGAAGGTAATATTGTGTAACACACAGCAGCCTGTGGTCTCTCTTCACCTTAACCCATTGATTAATCAGAGGGTGAGATAGGCTTTGTCATATTTTCTTGTCTTCTGACCACACCATATGCAATGACCACACAGCAATAGATAATTATGTCTACTGGACGCACCAAACAAACATTGCAAATCCATTTGTCCTTCCTTTCTACTGGAATAAGCTATATCACAAGTAGAAAACATCAATTTAATGTCAGGGGTAGGTTCTTAACATATCCAGGAGATAGATTCAATGATTCTAATATAATATAATATAATATAATATAATATAATATAATATAATATAATATAATATAATATAATATAATATAATATAATATAACATAGCATAGCATAACATAACATAACATAACATAACATAACATACCATAACATAACATAACATAACATAATATAATATAATATAATATAATATAATATAATATAATATAATATAATATAATATAATTCAGTAGTACTTTTTTATGCAAAGGAAGGGTTACAATGGACAGCAGGGCCAAAATATAGCAGATTGTCAATTGTCCAGAATTTTATGAAATGATGTAGATACAGTAGTTACATTACTAGCTCCACTGTTACAGGGAACCTTAAAATAAAGTTTAACCCATGTTTGCGATCAAATATATAGACAGTTGAAGACAAAACTACTAGCCCTTCTAAAATAGTAAAATATTAAGTAATGTCATCATGACATAGACAAAATATATCAGTTATTAAAACTATTATGTTTACAAATGTGTTTAAAAAATCTTCCTGAAATTAAGTAAAAAATATACAGGGGGCAAGTTCTTTAAGTGGAGTCTGGTTTTGTCAAAGGTATACATATTTATCATGGAAGTTGTTAGCATAGCTTTTAGCATTGCACATAATAAATACAGTAAATAAACATTTGGTGATCAGAATCTACTTGCAATCAGGGGATATTTTAGACACTTGCCAATGTTTTTTAAATGTTGATGTTTCTGATATGATTTCATGGTAAATGAGATGATTATATGATGCTGATCATCGCCAGACTTTGC